TAACATTTCCTGTTTCCAAGCACTGAACTGCTCATCTGCACCATCTTAGGGTCTATTCAACTGCACCCCTCACCAGCTTCAAACAAAAATCTGAACTAAAATTCTTATTTGAATCTTTCTTCTAATACTATTTCTGCTACGAAACTGACAGAATGTGAGTGACAACAGGAACAAATCCCTCCATGGGAAGTGCAGCTGGATGTGCCAGGGCACAGCACTCACCTCGTCTGCCCCATCCACCCATTTGGGAGGCAGGCGCTTGGTGACGCCGATGGCAGCCTCGGGATCCAGGCTGATCCCTGACACCAGGGCCATGCGGTCATCAGCCAGCTGCACAGGGAAAAGAGACAGCAAATTACCTTCTGCTAATTACATCCAAATCCTTCAGCATCAGAAAAAGTGCATCTATGCCTTGCCATAGAAACAAACCCCAGAGATGTGTTTGCTCGTGGTCAAACATCTCATCTCCTGGTTCCTAATGACCCACACCCTCCCACTTCCTGCAGCATCTGAGAGCTTGGAGTTGCTCTTAGGATAAATTCTTAGCAAGTTTTCCAGGAAGAAAGGTGGTATTGCAATGGGAATTTGAGTAACTCTCATGTTGGTACATTTCTATCAGACAACAATTCACAGCCCATGTTGCAGCACAGTTCATACTGGGCCTGGCAAGTTTGAAAACTGCATTTGGGAAAATCTCAGAAAAAACATTTATTATAACTGCTTGTTCTCAAATAATGTTATTCTGAAGAACAAACACTCTTGCAAACTGACATGCATCTCATATGGTTAAATTACTTAGTAAGTGATAATTAAATTGTGCCAAACACAAATAGCCAAGGCAGTACTGCACATGATCATCAATATGCCACTTACATTAACTAATTACTTGGAAAAGCTTTCATACAAACACTACCCTTGCTATTTTCTCCCAAATTTGTAATTTTCCTTTATCAGGCCTAAAAAGTTTTGTGGTTCCCTACCCCATCCCTTTTTAAAAAACAATCCCCCTTCCTTCCTGAGCAACTCTTTTTTGAAAGCAATTTCTTTGTCCCTGACCTTATTTCCTGATCAATAAAGTTTGCATAATTTATGCACGGCATGAAGAATAGTTAATGGCTTCACTGTGCAAAGTCACTCTATCCTACTTGCCCACCATAAGTCAGACATACATTTATGTATGGTTCGTACATTTATGTATTCACAGTTTATAACATCACAAAATGCTTGATTTCTCTCTGCAGCCTGTTCTTCTATAAAGACAGTGCAAAGTGCAAAGACACTTCATCCTATACAATGAAATTATATAAACTGGCAGAATAAAGAAAGATTATTTTAGCTCACTGATGTAGGCTTGATGCACCATGGCAGAATAAAATGTGAAAAACAATACCTCATCCAGCTCCTGAAGTGATTTGTGGGTCCCATCAGCCCCATCCAGTTAGAAACAGCAAAAGATAAAAGGGAAAAAAGAGACATAGGACCGATATAGGGCATGGTCAGTTGAGAAAATACTGATTTATTTTTAAAGCATGATGGTTTACCAAGAACAAACAAACTGGCTTTTAAGACATGGTTAATCAATAAATACATCATGACATCATGATATTGCATTTTAAGTCAGCATTTTGCTTAATACACCAACTTTAAAAAAAACAACATTTCAGTTCCTTGGTAAACAGAAAGAACTTAAGAGATCAAGTGCAGAGCTTGGTTTGTTTTACAAAGCAATTTCACAGTGAAGTTTCTAAATGCTGAAATGTCAGGCAGAAAGCAGCAGTAGAACCCAGTGAAGAATGACAGCAAGGGCAGTCTGACTGCAGCACTCACCATCCACTGGGTTTGGTTATGGTTGGAGGGGGCACAGAGAAGCTTTTGTAAGACGTTTATTGAGAAGCACCCCAGTTCTCAGAGGATCAAAGACAGCAAAGGACAAAATGCAACAGCAAATGTTCAGTCACTTCTGTACACACTCGAGCTGTGCTCTGCTTTCTGGGAGCATTAACCCTGCAGGAATCTGAAAAAATACACAAGGACACGTGTCTGCACCTTCTGTTCATCAGTCCTTGCACTGGGGAGGGGATGAGGGAGCAAAAGGATATTTTACTCCAAGATTAACAAAATCAGACCTAAAACTGGACAAAATCCTTTTGGTTTAACAAAGCAGCATCAGCTGATGATCTCTTAGGAGATTCCCCAAGCTTTTGGAACAGGACTCCACTGTTGAAGATACTGCTTTGATTATCTGAGTTTAGGAATGAAATTCTTGACAGTTCTCACAGCAAAGGATTTCTGAGGGGAAGGCTGGAATGAGCTAAGGGAAGCTGAAGTAGGGTGGGCTGGAATTTGCCCCCCTGGTCTGCTCTGGGGGCACCACCCAGAGAAACCTGAAACTCTGACAGCAGCAGGCACCTGAAGCCAGGAGAGACAAAGAGCTCACACCAACACCCTCACACCTCTGGCTGAACCAGCTCATTTGTGGCACTCTGAAATGCCCACCAGGGCCAAAAGTGACTCCTTTCACCCTGCACAGATGGACAACTCCCACTCACTGAGAGCCTCCACTGCACCTGAGTGAAAAACCTTCACTTAATGTTAACAATCAGTGCACAAAAATATTTGATGCAGGTGCTAAATGTTATTGCACTGACTGCTGAGTAAAGTGCAGTTTCATTGCTCAGGGGTAGAGTTCAAAATATCACTACTTATTCTAGGTGATATTTTAAAAATATAAAACCTTTTAAATATATTCACTTTTCTAGGTGACATTTTAAAAAACTCAAGGATCTACAGAAGTGACATTAAAGAATTAACAAGGACTAAATGCAGAGCCAAAGTACACATGTAAAATACAAATTACTGCTGACATTTCCTGTTTGCAAATGCAAATTAATACACAGCTTATTAGACACGGGTGTAATAAAGTTAGCAATGAACAAAGACCATTGCCAGCAACAGGAAACACTGCTTTTCCCAACAAAAATGCATTAATGTAAAGCTATCTAGAGTGATGAGACTGCCAGCAGATATTTACTGGTGGCTATGAGAAATAAATGATGAGTTTAAACAGAAAGTGTGAAAACCTGAACTGCCAAGCAGCCCATCACAGCCTGACTGGCTCAAAACCTAGAAAAAGCTATAGAAACTCCTCTGAACCAGTAACTTTTGGTAGTTTCTGTAAAGAGGAGTTACACTAGAATCTAGAATCCACTTTCTCACAGACGTGTTTGAGTATTATTTGTATTTAGGGATAAATAAAAAGGCAATGAACATCACAGCAATTTATAGAGAAATTTAAGCAATGGGACTAAACTACACCAGTGTATTTAACAGTGCCCACAGTGAGGTGAATAGAAGAGTTCTGCTTTATGAATTTACTTCTTTTTGGAGGTGCAGAGGCATCAAACCCCTCCTGTCAATGACAACAGTCACTGAATTATTCTGCACGAAGGGAGCAGCACACACAGATCTCTTCTATCCCTTTCACGGGAAGGAGAGGGAACAGAGGAATCACCAGGGCGGGGAGGGACGGGCAGGGGGAGGAAGGTCGGGGAGGGGTGGGGGGTTTGAGGAGAGGGTTCAGAGGAAGGGGAACCGGGCGGGTGAGAGGCCGGGCAGGGCGGGGCAGGGCACGGCCGCCCGGCGAGTACAGAACGATGAAGGGAGGAGACTCACCGCAGCAGCCATGCTACGTGAATTCAGAGGGCTGGAGGAGCCGAAACTACTCACTTGCTCGGCCAGCAGCTGCCGGCTCTGCACCGCGTTGTTCCGCAACAACAAGAACGCGTCCGTGAGACGCCGGGTGGCCATGGCCCCCCGCCCCGCCGGGCCCGAGCCCAGCCCGGGGCCGCGCCCCTCGGAGAGTCGGGGCGCAGACCCGTCAGGGGGTCGTGAGCGGGACCGCTCAGAGGGCCGGGGCCGGGCCGGCGCTGGGCGGGACCGGGACCGCCCGGGCCGGGCCCCCGCGGCCGCCGGGCGCCGCCATCGCCCCGGCCCGCGCCGCCACTTCCGCCTGGTGCAGCGCCCGCCGCCTTCCGGCCCGGCCCGCGCCGCTCCGCCCGGCACCGCGGCCGCCACAGCACCGTTCCGCTGCTCCGGGGGCCGGGGCGGCAGCGCGCACCCGCGTGTCCGTGACCGTGTCCGTGTCCGTGTCCATCCCCACGGTCATCCCCATGTCCGTGTCCATGTCCGTGTCCGTGTCTGTGTCCATGTCCGTGTCCGTGTCCGTGTCCGTGTCCGTGTCCGTGTCCGTGTCCGTGTCCGTGACCGTGACCGTGTCCATCCCCACGGTCATCCCAATGTCCGTGTCCATCCCCATGTCCGTGTCCATCCCTACGGCCGTGTCCATCCATCCCCGTGGTCATCCCAATGTCCGTGTCCATCCCCATGTCCGTGTCCATCCCCACGGCCGTGTCCATCCATCCACATGGTCATCCCAATGTCTGTGTCCATCCCCATGTCCATCCCCAGTCCAACCCTTCATCCATGTCCACGTCCATGCCCACATCCCATTAATTTTTTTTTCTTCTGAGTCCCTCCCACCCCTTCCTTGCCATTCCCTTTGCTTCCAGACAATTTTCTGTTTTCCAAACAATGATACATGGATTTTTATTTTTTTTTTTTTCCCCTGATCACGACCATTCAAACCCCGGGATGTTCCCTGAAAGTGAACAAGCCATTTAAAACAACAATATGGTGTTTGACTTTTCAGAAGAGGCTTTTCAACAGGGTGACTAAAATGAGTTTTCCCAGCTGCTCTGTCAGTCCCAGTATGGGGCAGATGGGACACGAGGCTTGGGCTCCCTCCAGTGCATCCCATGCCTTTATTCCAAGGAGCATCTGACAAATCCCCATGGAAGCAGCGTGGCACTGCCCAGCACAGCCAGGACAGCTCCTGCCCACACATCATCAGGAAACTCCCTTGCTAAAACCCTCAAAACACCTTCCCAAACCAGGCAGTGTTTGCACACGTGGTAGGAACAGGGACTGTAATCACAGCCACGTTTTCTGCAAATGTTATCTTGCTTTGTTGAACCGCCTGGGCAAACTTGTACAAGGAAAAATAGGGGGAAAATTCCCTCTGCTATTTTAAGATATTTGGAAGAGTTTTCTTGAGCAGCACTTCTGCCTCAGCGGGAGAGACCTGAAACTTGGAATTTAGCAAGGAAATAAGCTCGAGCCACACAAGGCCTAACGCACGCATTTCATTCTTCGTGGTCTGGTGAAATCTGCTTTCACTTTGGCTGCCTGACAAAGGCTTTAAAAATATATGTGTGTGCTTCATTTCTTCATGCTAATTTTTAATCTACTGTAACAATTTTTATACTATGAGAACAGCTAATGACCTTCCTGCCTTCTCTTGGCACTGCTGCTGTGGCTGGAGGTCAGGAGAAATTTCTCTTGCCATCAGTGGTCTTGCTGTGATCTTTTAGAAAAAACCTCTTGGAATATCTCATTTGGATGGAGAACATGAACCCAGCAGGAACCCCAATGTGCTGGAAGTTGGTACACAGCAGCAATTAACATATTTTGCTTTCTGATTTTTGCCAACTTTAAAAAAGTTTTGGATGTTGGGCAGGTTTGGAATTTATGCAGGGGCTATAAAAGTATTTGGGACTTGTACACAGAGGGATAAAATTCTGCAAAGAATGGGTCCAGACTTGGTGAATAACCACTTCAAAGTGGATATTAGGAATAAGCAAAGGGAGTGGAAGGAATGGAAAAAAGGATTAATCAAAGAAAACTACGTCTTAGAAGTTAGGAAGTGTAGGCATAAAGGGAAACGTGCCAGAAGTAAAGCTAAGGTAAATCTAGCAAAAGAAATTAAAGCAAATAGCAAAATGTTCTTCAGGCATACATAGCAGGGGAGGAAGGAGAGGAGGGGGAGAGGTGTTGAAAGAGGGGGGAGGCAGGACACAAATGAATGTGTAATATGTAGTGGAAATGTACACAGAGGAAATGAATGCATGGAGACAGAAATTACCTCATACAAGTGGAACAAATCATCAAGATCATAATGTGACAATGATTTGGGCTAAATGATCGTTACAGACACCTTTCAGCTGGAATATTCTGATTTCTGACTCAGACATCCAAGAGCACTTTATATCTGCTTGTCTAACAGCATCCCTGCATGAGCAACACAACACAATTTGAGAAAAGGAAAAATTCTTCCAGCTTTTAAAAAGAAGAAAAATCATTGAAGTCTGATCCAAATAAAATACAAGACTTTGGGATAAATTTAGCAAGAAAGAATAATAGCAGACATGGTAGCAGAGAGAACTGGGCTAAAAGGCAACACAGATTTATTTACTGAAGGTGGACAGTGCTGGACTAACCTGATGACTTTGGAAGGTATTTGGTTTTCATAACAGATAAGAGCTAGTAGTTCTATTCTGCCTGGTAATGAATAAATATAGGCTGGAAATGAGAAGAATATGTTCAGCCATCAGAGGAATTGGTCCTGGTGTGTCCTCCCTGCAGGCATGGCAAGGGCAAACGACCACATTAGAATGTTGCACTCAATCTGATCATAAAAAACCCAGATCATGTTTTCCCCTCCTAAGACAGCACACATCCCATAATACATCCTGTGTCCTGTACATAATACAGTGTGTCCTGGCAATGCTCAGGGCTGTTGCATGCCTGTGCCTAAGCCCACTGCCCTAGGTTTGGAGCCTGTGTCTTGCTTTGCCCTTTTATCTGCCTTTGAATGCCCGTTCTCTGTGCTGCTCCCAGTGAGGCAGGAGACAGCAGCGCTGCTTGGGCTGGCACATTCCTGCACCCACCTCCTCCCACAGCCAGGGCCTGGGGGGGAACTTTCCAGTTACTGCTGTGGCATTTGGATCTGGCTTCTGGTGGAAAAAACCACTCCATATTCAGAAGAACATTCTATTTCGAGGTGAATAGATAAGCATACTTTAAAAAAAAAAAAATCAGAGGTATATTTCAATCTCCAGCTTTTAAACTAAAAACCCCTTCGCTTGTGCTTAGAAACTCCTTCATTGTGCTTCTGTCCTTGTATCACTGTTTGGGTACCAGGCCATGGGAAGGGCAAGCAGACCTTATGCTCCAGTGATCAGATAAAGGTCAATCCCCACCATGTTTTATCTTGTGTAATTGAGTAGATACACGGAGGAGGTGAAATATTGCACTCTTTTGAAGCCTGAGCAATCAGCTTGTGCCAAATTCGGGATTAATGGACTGTGAAGTGCATTTTGCCCTGAAAAATCCCACCATCCTTTTGCAGATGGAACACTTCTGTGCCAGAGAAGTTCTTCTGTAGGAAAGTTTCTGGAGAAAAAAAACAGCAAAGTGTCTGGGTTACCTCTGTCATTGCTAGAGGTGCATTCTCTGCACGGGAATTGAGGGGCTCCTGGGAAAATTGATCATCCTCTTGCCTGTATTTTGCTGCAGAAGCATTTCAGGTTTTAGGGCTGTCAAACTCACAGTTTCCTGAGCAGGTTAATCACCGAGCCAGGTTTGTTTGTCCAGCCTCCCGAGGTTTGCAGTGGGTGTGATTCTGACAGCAGCTCTGTAGATGGTGCTGCAAGGCAGGGAGATGGGAACAAGGACTGCCTGTGCTGCATTTAAAATTCAGTCCCTTGGTTCCTCAACCAGCTCTTGGTATTCCAGCTTCCTTACAAGAAAATGAGACATAGTTGCCCATAATATCTTCATTTTGATGAGCTAGAATCTGAATGCACCCATTGGAAGCATAAACAAAGGAGAGCTGTTATTTTCTCTGGGTTCAAACATCTGGCATTCTGTAACTCTGCCTGGAAGATTGCTGTTGAGCAAACTGGCTTTTCATAGTGATCTAACTGTACCAGCATTTTAACATCAGATTCTGGAATCCAGCGAATTCCAGAAAAACATCTGAAAAAGAATAATAATTTTGTCATTAGAGACACTAAATAATGGATGTTTAAATAATAAAGAAATTCACAACTCTAAAAGGGCTCTGTCCTTTTTTGCTCAACGTCAAGTGTTGCCTTGAGTTCAGCTGCTCTTCTGCACGCTGAAAAATGGTAGAATGGATCCTGCAAATGTGTCTGCACTCCTCCCCTGCTACTGAAATGCAATCAATCCAGGTGAAATCAGGTCTTACTTTAAGCTGGCTAGGCAGTGAAGACTGATGTGTCTGCTTGGAGGGCTGGGAGGAATTTTTTAATCAAAATTCAGCTGCATGAATTTGGTGTTTACAGGCAGACATACTTCACATACATAATTACACGGGCAACCTTGTTCAAAGGCAGATGTGAGAGGCACAGTCTGTGAGTTTGTACCCCAGTCTCGTGACAGGCTAATAATGCCTGTGGTACTTAAACAATGGAACAACTCTGTCATCTAATATTGTGCAAAATTCCTTCCCTCAGCTGGGCACTATATTAAATCTTCTGTGTCACCATGGTGTAGGTCACCTCTGCAGCAAAGATAAAAGGTTGCTCATTGTAGACATTTATATCTCTGCTTACCCTAAATCTCTCTCCAGTAGTCATGTGAGGATATGCTGGTTTTAAATTGAGCTATCAAATATAAAAATGTGTTAGTGCTCTCTTCCTTGTAAGGTGTATATAATTTTAGATCCAGATGGGACTCCTAGCATCACAGATGTGGTTTTTAGCTGAGCAAAAGTTGTGGGGCTGGAGGTATGGCAGTAATTATATGTTGATGTGCAGAGATAGTGTGAATTCAAGATGTTCTGTCCCCTAAATGTTTGCTACTGACCATAGTGAGGATGCTACCCTACAATTTATCTACCACAGTGCACTCTGTGAGTGCCTCCCTCGTGCTTCAGTGCAAGTCAGTCAGTTCTGTCACTGACAGAGCAGCTTTCCCCGAGAGGACAAACCACCACAGACAGCACAGCAGACATTCAAGGGTCAAACCCGCCTGCAGTAAGAGAGAAATGTGCTGTTTGCATCCTGGGGCAGACTCCCACAGTACTTCCAGTACATCTAAACATGAACAAAATATAGTCAAAATAAGTAGACAAGAGAAATATTATTATTCCCTTTTTAGAGATGAGGCGCCAAGGCAAGAGGAGATTCAGTGAGCAGTTCTCCTGCAGATATGTGTAATGTAAGAGCTGGCAATAAAACAGAGGATTCCTCGTTACTGCCATTTTACAGATGGAAAAACTAAGTCACAGAACAACAGTGGCTTGCTCAAGGTCGTACAGGGTATTTGTAGCAAACCCAGAACCTGAATCTGGAGCTGCTGGATCCTGGTCAGCATTTTTCCTAAGGGAATCATGGATAAAGAGATTAATGTCAATATTTTCCCTCAAAGCAGCAAAATTTCAGTAAGAGAAGACTCTTCCAGAAAAATATGCCTCTTCTTGTCTTAGAAAAAGAAGCTTAGACTCCAGTAACCCCAGCAACTCATACCTATGTTCTTGTTATCCTAATTAGTGGCAATGTTCCACTTCCAGAAGGTTTTATCTATTAAAATTATGTGGATTTTTTTTTAAACTAACACAATTAGAGAAGACAATTCGGAAAAATGTGTTACAGCAGATCATGGTCTGACATTCATTCCAGCAATAACAACTGTTATCAAAGATCTTTTCCATAAACGTAGGAAACAAGTCAGGCTAATAAAGACATGAATAGATTTTTGCACATTACAATGTTAAAATAATCAATGAAACAGCGAAAAAAATCAAGTCAGAAAGTCTGCCTAATGACTGTTATCTTGCACAGAAATAGTCTGGTTCTGCTTTATAATGATAGCATTTAGCCATAAATCACTCTGAAAAGGGGGAATTTCAATGCCAGTTGGGAGCAGCAGAGGGCACGTAAGAGTGGGGTCCTGCTTAACAAATCTTCACTTTTTTTGGCCTAGGTCTTCCTGTAGGGTGAGGAACTGTACATACTGATTTTCTTAATGAACTGGTGCCCAGTTATTACCAAGTGGGTGTCCTGTGGTGAAGAAATCTTAGATTTCCAGGCTGGTTTTCTGTCACTTAGAACCATGCCTGCAGCTGCTGTGTTATGCCAAGACTCTGCTGTACTTGGTGTTTATTGCTATTCTCAGAGGTGCTTGGAAATAGGAAATGATAGAACCTGAGATAAGTACAGAGGTGATGTAAGAGATGATGTGCAAGGAAGGAAACTGGACCAAGCAAAAAAAAGTTTATTAGACCAAGGGGAGCAGGGCAGGGAGGAGGGCAAGAGCGGCTGCTGAGAGTGGCCATAGGGAGATGATGAAATCCCCTTTCTGCCATAAATAACATCACAGTGGAGAAAAAGACCAAAAAACCTGGAGCAGACTATACATCTGAAATCAAAACAGAAGGATTGCAAGGAACATCAGAAACAGCAGCTCAAAGAAATGAACTATTTTTATTTCTTTCTCTTTTTTCCGTGTTGCCCAGAGAAAAGAATGACAGCCTTCACTATCTGAGAGCTTCCACTCCCCAGAGCCTCATGGAAACATATCCTGTGGTCCCTAGTTTGAAGAAACTGAGGCAAGGGATTGTGAAGCTGATTTGACAGTGTCCTGGTTTCAGCTGGAAGAAGGCTATTTTTTTCTGCCTAGTAGCTGATACAGTGCTGTGTTTTGGATTTGGGATGAGAATAATGTTGATGTTTTAGTTGTTGCTGGTCAGTGGCCAAGGACTTTTCATCCTCTCATGCTGCCCTGACAGCAAGAAGGCTGGAGGGGGCACAAGAAACTGGGAGGGACACAACCAGGACAACTGGTCCCACAGACCAAAAGGATATTCCAGACCATGTGGCAGCATGCTGGACAAAAAAAAAAGGAGGAGTTAGCCAGGGGGTGGTGAGTGCTGCTTGGGGACTGACTGGACATTTCTCAGTGAAGGGGAAGCAATTGCTCTGTGCATCACTTGTTTTGTGTGTTCTTTTATCTCCATTGTTAATATTATTTTCCTTCCTTTTCTGTCCTAGTAAACTGTCTTGGTCTCAACCCATGGGTTTTTTCCAGTCATCTTCCCCATCCCACTGTGAGGGATTGAGCGAGGGCTGGGTGGTATTTTGCTGCCTGCTGGGTTGAAACACAATAATTGGTTTTTCTCCAAGCTACCCTCGTTTCATCCCTCTGGAGTCATGGATGCCTGATGTTGGATGGCTCACGCAGCTCAGACTCCTCTAGCTCACCTCCCACTGACGTCCCCTCAGCTGTTGTTGGTGGCTCCAGCTGCTCTGCAGTGACAGTGAATACCTCCTTCAATGACCCGTGCCCTGAACTCCCCCGTCGTCCCCATTGCTGGGAGAGGATCAGGATGTGAATGATGTCAGGATGTGGGCAATGTCAGCAGTGGGCAGAGCAGGCAGAGGGTTATTTTGACCTCTCAGCCCCTTGCTGCTGTGTGTAGGCTGATTTGGGAGGCTCTGTGCTCTCCAGGGTGTGTGCCCCCATCTCTGTGCTGTGCTGCCCTTGTTGTATCCCTGCTGGGAAAGGTAGTCCAGGGCCTGTTGGCTGTGCTTTTCAGGGGTGGCCATGTCTTCCCATGCTTGGAGTACATCCACCATTGACCACAGAGGGCTCAGGGTTCTTGAAACCTCAGGGTTTCCTGCTCAGTTGCAGGAAAAACCAGACACCTGTGGCTGAATTGTTGCTCCCAAGGGAGGGGTTCCAATCTGTGCCAGTTACTCTGACACAGCCACCTCATTTTCCTTGCCTAGGAATGTTCACCCTGGCTTCTCTCCACCGTGTCCCTCTTGAAATCCATAGAGGAGGCTGTCAGAATCACTCAGCAGCAGGAAGCACTGGGCACAAGGCCCGTGGAATCTGGGATCTGCCTGAATCTGCTGTTCTTGGTGCTTCAGTGTCCCAGCTCACAGCAGTGGCTTTCCCCACCACTGAGAGCGTGTGAGAGCCCAGGAGCTGTTCCATAGCAGGGGCCAAGGAAAAGGTCCCAGTGCTGCCCTCACTTCCCTGCAGCAGAGCTGTGGAAGGTGTTGGGCCGGGAGAAGTTAGCGAGACATAATTTGGCTCCGCATGTTTTCTTGAGGTATTCTGTCTAAGTAGGCTCAGCAGCTTTGCCTATCCCCATCTCAGTTTCCTAACCAAAGATGAGGTGTGAGGAGCTGAACCACATTCCCTGGGAAGAGCTGATAGAGCCTCCCCTGCTTCTCCCCCTCCTCTGGTGCTTCAAACCAAAACAGCTGGAAACTTCTTGTGGCTGGAGATGTGCTGAGTGGCCTGGCTGGAGTTCAGGGAGAGGTAAAGCAATCCCACCCACCAGTAGCAAGGGCTCTGTGCCACCACCAGCCCTTGCATGCCCTAAATCCTGGCTTCCTGGTAATGCCTATCTCCATAAATACCAGCCATCCTGCAAGAGAAGGGACTTGCATCGCTGGGCTGTGTTTTATTGTGTGAAATATGAGGTGTGACACAACACACGGGCATGAGGCGAAGCAGTTGTGTGCTGATGTGGTGACACACTTGAGGCAAAACTGGAAAATTTGATCCCTTCCTGCCCGCGGTCTCGCAGGCGCTGTGGTGAGGCCTGACTGGCTTTGCTCGGGATGTCGAGGGAAAACGGACCCGGGGCCAGCACCAGCTGCAGGTCACGAACTCAGACGTGTCAGGCTGGCAAGGGCCCGCCAGGCCGATGGGTTTGCTGGGCTTGGGCCCTGCCACAGCTCACGGCTGGGTTAGCCAGGCTGAGCACAGCACAGCCAGGTCTGTCCCTCCCAGCTCAGGGGAGGTGAAGAACGCTGAGCTGGTCTTGGCACTGTTCTATCAGAGACGATTTTGGCCTGTTAGTCTGGCTCCAGATCCAGCTCAAAAGATCTCCCTGCTGCTCCAGTTACCCTGTTCTCCTCCCTATGGGACCAGGATTAATTCCTATTGAATTGAAAACAACAGAGCTACTGAAGAACAGAAGAGCAACAGTTGTGTTTGATTCTCCTGAGGATGTTGTCTGAGAGTGACAAGAACCTGTGAACACATTTCTGTGCTCCCTGCATTTGCTTCTTCACTTTTCTCTCCCTTGTTTCTGTTTCTGGATAACTTTTCTCCCATTTTAAGCATGATGGCAGCTGTGTTACAGAGATCAAACCTCTGGACAAGGAGGATTTGCCCTTTCCTGCAGCACAGTTGTTAGTATCTTCCTGTTTTCATGGTCCAGGGGTAGGATGATGCTGTCCATTAATGATCAGGAAACCGTTTCACTGCGGTCAGTGCAGTTGTAGAACCAGAATTACGTATCTAATCTTCATGTGGTCTGACAGCAGAGCAAACACAGGGGGGTGACAGCAGGCACAAAATGCTGAGGGATGACAGGAGGAATCTCCTCCTGCAGCTCCAAGCAGTCCTGCAGATTCATCTCCCTCTAAGTTCCACTCCTGAGAGTGTTCCAGGCAATTATCTTGGGGTTCCCATGTGGATTTTGTAAAACCAATGTCAAAACCAGCCCAAGAAAGCCACACAATAGATGCTAATTTCTGTCAGCTCTAGCACAGCACTTGCACAGGGAAATGAGGACCAGTGGTGCTCCCTTGGGTGAATGTGTACATACACACTCATCCAGAAGGGTTTCTGGCTTTTTATGTAATACAAGTGTCTTGAAATAGATCTGTTTGCTCAGAAGAGCAAAGGATTAATGAATAATGTGCAATTAAAGCCTGTACAGGAGGTAGCAAGTAAGAACAGCTTCAGCTTTGCTCCCTTCCCAGGATTTCACGTGCACATGGAGGAGTTCTTGTTCAAACTAATACCATTCTTTCTGTTCTTTGGGACAGATTTCTGGTGTTGACTGCAGAGAGAAGCAAACCCCAGGTTGTTTGGAGCCTGTTTTTCCAGGTTGGGTTATTGCCCAAATGGTGAGCACATGGACCTGGACTTTGTTTCTGTTTTGCTGTTGGAAAAACCTAGGCACAGGGTTTTCCATGCACAGAGCAATGGAGAAGCAGATCTTTGGCTGAGAGTGACACAAATAACACTTGAGTCTGAGCCCTCACCAGCAGATCAAGACCTCCATATCACTAGAAAAATGTGCTGAAGTATTCACTGCACATACTGTTCTCCCTCAAAGGAACAGAAGTGTGCACATCATTAAAAGGAAATATTTTATGCTGATCATTCCCACATGCCCGCTCTGTATCTATCTGGGTTCTTAAGCAGCACCCATTCTGCACATAATGTCATGCATTTATGTCTCACAAAGAAGATCAGACCACCTCAGGCTAAGGAATTGTGTTCTGGGTCCTGATAAAACCATTTTATGGAGATGAATAACTTGTGTGGTTTCATGCTTCCTTTCCCTGAAATGCCATTAGATGAACATCAAGTACTTTTGTATTTATTTGAGGGAATTTCCTTTTAGACTCTGCAGTCAGAGAAAAAAAATGGGCATTGGAAGGGAGCTGGGACTGAATTATGCCTCTGACTGGCAGTGCCTCAGTGAGAGCCCAGGAGCTCGGCTTGCTGCCTCATTTATATCCATCAAAGGTGCCATGAGCTGCAGACTGGGATAAGTTACCTCGTCTGAAGGACTGAAATACCACATCAAAGCACCGTGTGGATCAAAGGTGAAAGCAACAGGCATTCCCATCTGGCTCATCTTTCAGACCTTTCTCTCTCTTTGGTTTCCACTTTGGATCTGATAATGCCTGAACGCAGCCTTTCATGTGCCTCCGTTCCTCGGGGCACGGGTGGCATGGAGCGTGTATTTCCTTGTCAGCAGGTTCCGTGGGGCTTGGGGTTCCAAGGCTTTGCTCTCAGGCATCACTGATGGGAAAGATTTATCATTTTGAATAAGGCAGAAAAGACTGATGGAGTCAGAGCAGCAGAGCAGAGCGCTCCTGCCCCAGGTACACAGTGGGGTGCAGATCTACAGAGAGCAGCTCGACAGTGAAGCACCAAAATTCATCTGCAGCACGTGCCATCCCAGGGAATCAACCCCATCATTTAAAACTTTATAAGAAGAGACACTAAAGCATCCTTGAGCCTTGGAGGGGACACACTCAGACTCACAGGGTAAAACTGAGAAGGCCATGTCCACTGACACACAGGTCCCAGTGGCACTTGGAAGCACCATGAAAATGTTTATGCTCAATGAAGTAAATGTAGAAGTAAATGGCTTCAGAAACTCAGAAATGAGCTTTTCACTCCACTGCTGTGTGATTTGTGTCACAGGAGGCAGATGAAGCTGTGTTGCTCAGTCCCTATGAAAATCTGGATGTTAACTCTTCCATACTATAGGTTTATCCTGTAGTGTTTCTTGTCAGTGGGAATCAGAGTCAGCACAGCATGAAGGAAAGGCCTCATGACCTGAAAAAAAAATCTCTATTCTGACATTTTCCATCATTCAGACCCTTTCAATCATGTCACCAAACTCTTACTGAGTCCCTAGTGGCTGTCTCTGGGTGAAAGTCTCTCTTTGATAGATGTTCTCAGCTGTGTATTCCTGCTGCAGTTTGGTGTCAGAATCAATAGATGAGCTTAAGTGGGATTTGTGGAGATGCCTGCTGGATTCAGAGCTCAGTGCTACTGTGTAGGGCCTGAGCAAGTAGCTTTTGAATTCTAGACCCTCCTATATCTGTGGGTTCATGTAAAATGAAATATCACATTATGTTAAAGCTGAGTTGGATTCCTACATGTCAGGGTTGATCCCCAAGGTTTATAAAGCTGTTCAGACTGGCAGCAAGATGAACAAGGCAATTGTATGGTTCTTTCCCCTGTTCCAATCTGCAAAAGGAAAACATTGTGACTCACCAGCCAGAGAAGTTGTACTTTCTTCAGCAGGAAGCTTTGCAGATTCTCTGCTCCCAGATCTTGTTACACTCTTCCATCCCACTACTCTGGAAAAACTCCCACGGAAAGACAGGCAGATATTTTAATCAAGAAATGGCCCTTATTTCCATTAGCAACAGCTGTTTTTCTTTTAATTCAATTCTCCATTCTGCAGTCTGTTTATGAAAGCTGCCATTAATTACATTTTTCATCAGTCAATGTTCAGAGATGGCTAATGGCCCAGCACACCTAATTAGTCCTTCATGTATGATAATGTTTCATCAAGTCTCTAGTTAGTGTGCAGGGCAGATATGCACCGTGCAGTGGGGCTGGCAGTGGGGCTGGCAGTGGGGCTGGCAGTGGGGCTGGCAGTGGGGCTGCCCAGGCTCTCCGGGCTGGGACGGATCCAGTTACAGCCGCGCTCCTGCTGCTGCCAGCGTGGGGAGCTGGGGCTGCGATAACAGCGACTGCCAGCAGTGGCTTCCAATGGCACTCTGAGCATGCCAGCTTCAGGGTGAAGAATTCAAGCTGCCTTTGGAAGCTCTTTGAAGACAGGGAGTGCAAAGACTGGAATTATACTTACCTTTGAGTTTTTTTCCTAGTGATGCACTCGATAAGTGTTAGTGATGGCTGAATTCACTGTGTTAGAGTGCCTTCCCTTAGCTTTTTCTGTGCAGAAGCCTTCTGGTCATCCTTGACTAGGTATTCCCAGCTGATCCATCTGTCTCAAGTCACAAAGCTGGCTCCTTGTGATGCCTTCTTTAATGTCACTGTGGCAGGACTTAAACTTACTTACCCAGTGGTGCATCTGGGTTTAGACAGGTCTTTGGTTAAGTATAGCCAAAGGTTTGACACAACTGTCCAGAAACTATGGGCATGAAAACAATTTATCTTTGTTCAACAAGGTGCAGGAGTAGGTTGAATGAATTCTTCACATACCTTAATGCTGGAGCTGGAGTCTGAACATCACGCTCAGCTGGAACTTTGCCTTTATTTTGAAGGTGTTTGCAGCTGCAAAGAATAGCAGTAGTTATTGGCAGGTAGCCTCAGGTAAAAAACATTTGAAATCCTCTGGTACAGAGATAGCTTTTGAAAACTATCCCCACCGGTCACAATCGTGTATTGCAATCCCACCAGCGTGTGTGCAGAGCTGTCTCTGTTCCCTCGCCCAGGCTGTCACCTGCAGAGTTCAGGGCATTGTGGAAAATTGCACAGACTGAGTAGGGACATGTTTTGTTTATCTTGGTGGGAAAGTGGCAAATGACCAGAGAAGGATTTGCAGTCCTGTATTGCATAAGGCAGTCACTCACCTTCAGCCCTTCCAGTGCCTAAGACAGTCTGGACCCATGATTCCTCTTTGCTCTCTTCGTCTTCACTGTGAGCCCCATGGGAGGCTGCAGGAAAGGCAAACTGATGCTGCAGGATTTGCTGTATGTAATAATAACAGTGTTCAGCAGTGAGACCACCTGATGCTGCAGGTACTTCTCTGTCCTGTAGAATCACATCAGGCTTATGCAGAGATTCTCTGGTGACTGTTCAGTTGGCCAATTTCTGACTGTGTGACCTCACTAAATTAAAGCCTTTTGACTGTTGGAGGGATGAATCTGCCATGCTGCTAAACAGACAAAAGCTTTTTCACAAGACTTCTGCTTCCAAAGCAAATGAAATCTGCTTTGATTTTCATGGCCTGTCGAGGGATGACAGCAGCACTGCAAGGAATCATCCAGGATTGGCTCAGAAACAGTTTAAAGGAGAATATAAGAGCAGCTCAGGTGCTGGTATTTGAGAGGAGAAAGAGAAAATGCAAGTGACCTGTTGAAAAATATGTCCTACTCACAAAGCCTCCAGGTTTCATACTGCAAAGGGGTATAATTGCAGACAGAATGGGTTTAGACACAGAATAACTCTGCATTTAGTATTACTCTGACCTAACAGGTTTTTTTGTGGCAGGGGAAGGAAGGCAAGTGTCCTACTGCTGTTCCTTGTTCAGTCACCTCTTTGCTGGCTGTGTGATCACCTCAACTTTGAGCTCTCCTCTGAAATGTCTCAGCTGGAAAGTGCTGGATTTATGGGGCTCTTCAATGGTGATATAAGGAATGTTCTCGCAGGGTGTTATGGTCCTGCTGTCAAGTCCTTCACTGGAATCCCAGAGTAACTCCAGTGCAGCTGATGGGTTACTGTCGTGTTAGTGAAGGCAGCATTCATCTCCTGGACATCACCTTTTGGCCTCTTCTGTTGGCAAATGAACCTGATGTAATATTGCAAAAACACATCCTTTGAGTGAAAGTGATAAGAAAGACAAATGTTTGACTTTAGCCAGGGAATTTAAAACTCAGAGTCCTTTGAAGATTGCTGAGTTCTGCGCTGTGTTAGTCATCCATATCTATCTAAGAAAACACTCATTTCATCACAACTGGTGACATAAATTCAGACTTGTGAGCAAATGGCTAGGTTGAGTTAAATCACCTCTCTATCTGCTAATGGCATTTTTGCTTTTGCTTCATGATGAAGGTTATCTCCCTGTTTGGAAATTATAACCTACAACTGTTAGACAGCATTATCTGCAGACTTGGGTGAGATAATTTGTATGAAAAATCCAGGGAATCTGGGGCTTATTGGCTTCCATTCACATGAAATTGAAACTCTTCAGGTCTCCAGCCGCCCTCACATATTCCTCCTGCTATACAGTGGGGAAGGAATAGCAGCTGGCAGATGATGGATAGCAATGCTGCAGCCCAAACTAAGGTTAGCAGTGACATCACTGATAGAAAGGGAAGCAGCTTGAGCTGTTTATAAAACTCCAGTTGGGAAGTTTGCCCCAGACTGCATTAGCCTCTGTTCGCTGCCTACTCTGCTTTTCCCCACTCAAATTCCAAGCTCCTTCAAGGGAAACAAACATCTGCAGAGACACAATGTTAATTGTTCTGCTTAGGGCTGCTGTTTACATTTTTGGTGCGAGCAAGTCAAAGCATGTCAAGGCTATCCTGATGGCTAAAACAAGCCAGAAGTCTTGTTCCGGCTGAAATAACATGGGGCTGGATTCTGATCTCGCCTACCAAACCTTTTGGGATTGGCCATGCAGGGTGGAAATCAGAACCTGTGCAAATCAGAGGGTGCAGAAAAAAAGCAGCAGAGAGGTTGGTAAGAGGGGGAATGTGCTGGAGCCACCAGGGAAGCATCACAAGGTTAATGCAGTTTTCCATTATCTGAAAGCAGGGATTACTCTGCATTTGTAAGCTTAAAATTGCCATCTTCCCTGGGTTCTGCTCCCACCACAGTCCAGCCTAATGGCTCCTTATCAGGGATGATGAATCGCTCTTGAGCCTACACTTTGGTCCCTAATTTCCACTTTCCTTGCATCTGCTTAAAGTCCTTTTTAATTTTAACACATACAACAGCCGCTGAGCCAAGCGTGGCCCTGGTGCTCACAGTCATCCTGGTAATTACCGTGCTCACCAGGTCCCTTTAGGATGCAATTTCAATGGGGTGTGACTTTCACAATATTTTTTTTCTTGTTGTTGCTCGAGCCACTCCAGGAAGGAACTGTTAAACACAAGTCTCAGCAGGATCCATCATGACTGAGGACAGAACAGAATGTAATGAAACAGGGTGAATACGTGTCTCACTGAGCAGGATATGTTCTCTTATTTATATGGCTGATAAAGCTTTGGCTGAGGTTCAAAAAGGTGTTCAGCTTTCATCTCTCTGTCTTCCTTCCTCCACTCCCCTAAATATTAATGCTGCATGCATGTCTCCCATATTCGTGGCTACTTTAATTGTTTACAGGGTTTTTTTTTATGAAGGCTTTGACCTTTTGCCTCTGTAGTTGCACAAGCCCTTCTCTGTCCTCAGACCGTGCTCCCTCCATCGCAGTTTGTCCTTGGCAGGGGCAGATCTGTGAGAATGTAATGTGGCAAAGAAAAGGCAGCAGGATTGGGAAGTGGCAGCTGACAGTGGGAGGAAGGTTTTGTGGGGTCGGGGTGTGCCTGTTGAACCCCGAGCTCCTCAGTAAGCATTGTTTAACAGCTGGGTTCCCGGGGCAGGAGGTGGTGACAGGGAATCCAGTGATTGTCTGTCCACATGGGTATCTATGCCAGGAGCAGTGGAAGGATGTGTAGCTCCTGCAATGCTGATGTTTGCCACCAATTGCTCCCTTCATGGGATCTCATGTCTCAAGACACATTTCACAAAAGTTGCAGAAGCTGGGAGTAAACCAATCACACTGCTCTGCTTTGATCCTGTGCTCTGCTCTTTCTATATCAGCCAACATACAGATCATGAAATTCTCCTTTATCACCTTTTTGGCTATGTTTGCAGTGCAAAATTATGGTACTTGAATTAGGGCCTGTGTTTATGAAAAGAGACAAGAATGATTGATATTTATGTGAGCATGAATTAAACCAGTATTTTTAATTCTATGGCAATTGATAAATCAGGGCAGTGACAAATAAGAGCATAGACATCCAATTAGGGGCTGTTGCACAGGCATATGGAGAAAATAAAGAAATTTTTCTGATATAACGTGATTTAGATCATGCCCTTAAGAAGGAATAGACTTTTGCTCCAAATAATTATTCATTCAATTGCTATCAGAACAGGAATTTACTACAGCGTCTCTGGCCAGCCTGTCCTCTCCATCTGAAGAGGCTTGGGTTCCTGTCCTCCCTGAAAAGACTGGGTATATACAACACACGAGCAAAAAGCTGTGAATGAAAAACTGTTACAACATTCCCAGTCGGCAGCTGGGAAGGAGTTTGTAAGTGATGCAATTTAATGTTTCTTTTCCCTCAGAGTTAAGCACTTTTCGGGACATCCCCAATGTGCAGGGAGATGACCTGGCTGGTGATCTGACCCTGCCTCTGGAAGGGACCAGGCAGCGCAGAGAGTTTGTGAGCAGCCTCTGCTGCTGCTCAGCTCAGAAAGCGCTCGGATTATTTCACTCTCCCTTAACTCATCTCACACCTGAAGGGCTCCAGAACCCGCTGCAGAGGCGGGAGGGCAGGGATGCTGTCGGGGCAGGGGTGGGTGAGCGGGCCCGAGCGGCAGCGCAGGCAGCGGGCTGGGGCCGGGGCGCGGCGGGGAGAGGAGCGGGGCCCGTGGGGAGTGCAGCGGGGCCCGTGTGGAGCGGAGCGGAGCCCGCGGGGAGAGGAGCGGGGCCCGCGGGGAGCGGAGCGGGGCCCGCGGGGAGAGGAGCGGGGCCTGTGGGGAGCGGAGCGGGGCCCGCGGGGAGAGGAGCGGGGCCTGTGGGGAGCGGAGCGGGGCCCGCGGGGAGAGGAGCGGGGCCCGCGGGGAGCGGAGCGGGGCCTGTGGGGAGCGCAGCGGGGCCTGTGGGGAGAGGAGCGGGGCCTGTGGGGAGAGGAGCGGAGCGGGGCCTGTGGGGAGAGGAGCGGAGCGGGGCCTGTGGGGAGTGCAGCGGGGCCCATGGGGAGAGGAGCGGGGCCCGCGGGAGCGGAGCGGGGCCTGTGGGGAGAGGAGCGGGGCCTGTGGGGAGCGGAGCGGGGCCCGTGGGGAGTGCAGCGGGGCCCGTGGGGAGAGGAGCGGGGCCCGCGGGGAGTGCAGCGGGACCCGCGGGGAGAGGAGCGGAGCCGGCGGGGAGAGGAGCGGGGCCCGCGGGGAGCGGAGCGGCGGCTGCCAGAGAGCCGCTGGCACGGCCCCGCCGGCCGGGCAGCGCTCCGCATCCCCGCCTGCCCCGAGCAGCCCCTGAGCGCCGGCTGTACCCGCAAAGTATGCAGCAAAATAAAAGGAAACCATGCTTACGTTTGGGTTTTCATGGCTGGCTTTTTATGGATGGATTTTAACATCTCTCTTTCTTTTTCTTGGTCATGAAAGCAGTCGGGCTGCCCAGCAAATCCAGATCTGAATTCCTTAACTTGGGAGGCGTTTTGTGCAGGCTAACGTCTACCAGCCTGAGATCAAGTCAAGCATCATGCACCAGGGATCTTCATTTTCCAGGCTTGTAATTCTGGCTTTACTGGAATGAAGGACAAAGACACTGAATAAGTAAAAGAAATAGTGTGGGGCAAAATCCATATGGAATGGACACATTGGTTGAAACATCCCATTTCCTGAAAAATTGATTTTGAGGTATATGTCAAAGCAATCCCTGTATTTCTTATGATTATTATATCACATGGCCTTGGCATGGATTTTGGGTTTTTCGAGAGGACCACCCAGAAGTGGGCCAGGTTTGGTTATTGGATTTACTAAACAGGACAAGAAGCACAGAGCTCTTGCCTGCTGTTCAAAAATAATATCGCAAGGGAAGCAAACCACAGGGAGACCACAGGGAGGTGAAGCCCATTTTCCACTTGCTGAGGGAACTGCCCTTGCTTGCTGCAGAATGCAGTCTCCATATGCTGGGAATGATTCCCAAAAGTACTCCATCCTTGCCGGCTCTGCTTCCTTTCAGAAGTTGCATCCACTGGGATGTAGGGTGAGGAAGTGGCTCTGAACAGGATACTCTGGGGTGTTTTCTCTGTGCAGTGAGGTGGAGAGAACAGCCTGTAAGAGAAAACACCAAATGGTGTTGGAGTAGAACAGAGAAAGCCTGTTTCTCCCTGTCAGTGGTTCTCAAGTTATGGATCCCGGGCCACCTGATGGCCAGAGAGAGCTTTCTGGGCACAGCACACAGCAGAAAGGGCTGCTCCTGTGCCAGACATGCCTCAGGGCTCACTTTGCTCTTGGTGCCCTGCTGTCTTCTTGCCTCAGCCAGAAGGATGGGGAGGAGGAAAACCATGTGCTGATAGAGAGAAGGGAGAGAATTTTCTCCTCCCTAAGAAGCCATTGAAATGGAACAAAAAACCAGGGAGGAAAAGGATAGGTGACCTGCAGGGACTGGGAATTTAGGATAGCTGTGGAAGCCAAGCTTCTTCTTGTTGTCTGCAGGAAGAAATATTGACAGAAGGATAAGCAATGGTGAAATAAATATGACAGATTGTTTCAGAAAGAGACAACTCACAGTTCTGAGGCATTTGAATCTGAAAAGAGAGGCATGGAGCTGTGCCTTGTAACCTAAGCACAAACCACACCAGGATTTCCAAGCAGTAGTGGCTAAGCTGTGGCACACAGGTGGATGAGCTGTGTTACTGGAATGAACCCCAAGGGATCTGGAGGGATCAGTAGGATCTGGAGGATCTACTTACTGACTGTCGTGTGTGGGCAAGGTTTCGCCATTACTTAAGGCATGAGCTGAATTAAATCATGCATGGACTGATAGAGGTGCAATGTTGCCACAGCTCTGCTGCACAGTATGGTTCAGGGGCAAGAGCCAAAACTGTGACCAGCAGGCCAGAATATGCCAGAATCTGTGGGCACTGAGTGCAGTGATTCTTGCCTACACCAAGTCATAACAAGTTTTGCAGTATCAGCATTGTTAGGTGCTGGTATGGATGGGAAGGAAAGAGGCACTGCAGATCTTTAACTCTCTGAGCACTGAATAAGTGACTACTCTTCAGTTTCTCAGAAGTTAAAGGGTTAATGAGAAAAGCTCCCTCCCCTTACCTCTCTCCCCTAATGTGCTTGTTGATTTCTCCTCCTCCTAAGCATGATTTTTGTTTAGGAGTGAAATGTGCTTACTCATTGATATGCATATATCACATGGACACGTACATCATCCACAGTGCAAATGTCACACTGTGCAAAAGCCCTGGGTCCAGAGCGACAGCTGAGTTAGAGCCTGTGCTCTGGAGCAACCCCCTTGCCAAGATTCTGTAGCTGGATGGTTTTAAACAGAACTCAGTTATGGAAAGCTCCACCAGAAAAAGAATCTGTGGTCACAAGTTGCTCTTGGGGAAGCTGCCAGCTCCTGTGGGCCACTGGCCTTCTCATGGGGACACTGAGGTGGCCATGGAAGGGCTACAGAGGGGGTTGTGATCACAAATGTTCCCAGCTGATTGGTTTTTGACTTCTGCAAAATGACTCATCACTCTCCCTTCTGCTGAATTGATTTGAAGGTGCTGGTGCTAATTCTGCTGTCGAGCTCAGGGCTGAGGATTAAATGGCACAAAAACCTCATCACTGTCACTTCTCTTGTTGGCTGGAGCCCAGTTTGGAGGAGCAGCCTCTGGTGCACAGCAGTGATGCACACTTGCTTAGGCAGATTCATTTTTCAGGGTCCTACTTGCTACTTCTGCCTTTATTCTGCTGCACAGGCATCTATTTTTTTTTTCACAACAATTTGGAGTTTTCATGGCAACAGCTGTGAAAGCCAATGGCACTCATACAAGTCAAACTTCAAGCAACACTCTGCAGAATAAACAGAATACTCTATTTTAGTGCACCACATCATTAATTACGAGAGACAGACTGGGCAGGTTTGGAAAATATGATCTCTAGTGTTCAATTTTTAAATAGGATTTTGAAGTGGCCATTGAGATTCTCTGCAGTTTCTGCACATAGAGGAAAATATAGCTAGAAAAATTAGGTCATATATTGATTAATCTCAGATCTGTAATAAATTATTTATATTAGTTACCAGCTGACTCTGTTTGTGATGGTTCTCCTGGCTATGGTTTATTAACTTAATGTGGTAATAACAGAAGGAAAGAGAGGGATTGATGGCATAGGAACCCTGAAAATCTGAAGAGTTGCTAAATTTATCCCAGTAATTCTGTGCTTAGAGCAATCAGGAATTTCAATTTTCATTGATGTAATTTATAAAGTGCAGGTATTGTGCATGACAAGAATAATTTCCTTAACCCATGTGGTGAGACATTCACACTTGAGAACCGCAGTGTGTCACAAGACAGTGTCACCAATGATGGAGCTAAAGAGGTACAGGTGACAAAATGATGTGCTCCCACATTTAAAGGCTGATGCCTATTTAAAACCTGTGCTTTTATAAATAAAAGGTGATGCTATAATTATTAATTTAGAAGCTTATTTTTCTCAAATCATGCTCCTTTTTCTATTTTTTTAGGTTGTGCTCTTTTCTTTCTAAAATTTTTAACTGAGCCTTTTCTGCTTACATTTTTTTTCACTTGAAATGTTTGGTGGGTGATTTCTAAAGGTAACCAAATGTCAACATTATCTCTGCTTCAAGTGAGAATGTAATTAATACAAAAATCTTCAGATTTCTAATATCTTTTTCAATATTAGAAACCCAACATTTTCCCAAAATTGTATTGGATCCAACTCCCATTTTGGATTTGGAAATGCTTTCAGTGAAAAGGTTCTAACCATCCTGATTTATTTTTAAAGCAGCAATGATGTTTGCAGTAGGCTGTAATTATCTTTAGTTCCAAGATCTTTGATCACAGTGTATTCACATCTAAATCTGAGTTGGGATCCAGATCTCTCTTCTTTATGCCTCAGGCTATAATTTGTGGGGCTTCTTTGGCAAAAGAATTTTTTTTATGAGATACACTCATACCAGAGCAGCACCACGTTTGCCCTGGCTGTGTGGGAGTATACAAACTTATAAAAAATGGATTGTGATGCCCTTTAGAGGGAAGGGAGAAGGGAGAAGTCTCATATTCTAGCCCTAGGATTTTGATAATGTTGGAAGCAGCATCAGCTGAGCATCAGATATTCGAGGTTAATGACTGCCTTGTGGAAATCAGTGTGCTATGGGATTTGATTCTTGTGTAAAAGAATAATATAGACTTGAAATTTAGAGATAGGAGTGGTCTGAGCACAGTGCTCAGGGCTGACCAGGTGGGATGGATACCTCATGTATTTGTTTAACCACACTGCAAAACAGCTGAGGCTCTACAAGGTCTGACTGAAAAATATGCGGACATAATTGCAGAAATGGTCCAGTTGTTCAGCCGCTCTTTAGCAAGAGATTTCTGTGTCTGTAGGAGTATTCTCTCCTGTTTAGCTTTAATTTGAGTCCCTAAAATAGACAGCTCATCTTGCCAGACTCCCACGGAGGGAGGCTGAGGCTCCTCTGCAGGCTGAGTCAGGAGGACAGAGCAGTGCCTGCCTGTAGGATCCACAGCATCCACAGCATGTTATGAACAACCCCCATCCCTTCTGTGCAGCCCCTCAAAAATGGAAATAAACCTTAGCTCGTTTCCACTGGCAAAACCATAAGATTCTCAGTGAAAACTTTATTTGAGTGCAGCTGGGACTGGGGTTGCTGATCTCAATAAGAATCCCAGATTTCTGTGAACTGTTGGGTACATCCGTACTGCCACACATCAGCTACAGAGTGGAACATGAAAACCTTTGTGTATGTGTTCTCAAATTTGATTATAGGACTTCCATATTAAAACATACTTTTCCAAATAAATAATTTAAGCATGGCTAATATGTCTTTTCCTTATCACCATCGTTGTGATAATGGATGATGAAAACAACTGTGTTCCTGAATTGCTAAATCTTGGGAAAATAAGGAAGCAAGTTTTAGCTGTATGTGTATTTTCATGTTAAATCTGTATAACCAAGATTGCAGAGCCTCAGAGCTTAGCATCTGCTATCAGGCAAAATGATTTAATTTCTGCTGAAATCTTAAATCATTGTCTGTTTATAGAAAAATGCCAGATGACAGGAGCAGCGAGAGGTAAATGGGAGGATGCTGGATGCTATCAGTTTTGACTGAGAAGGCACAATAAATCTATTTCTAGCAAGAAGAGAACCGTGCTGCTGGTGAAATGCCATTATCCTGCCTCTTCCAATATGTTTTCACCTGATGGATCAGAGAAGAAAATATCGGTATTAGCACAGAACAGATTTCCCCTCTGAGTGAAAGTGACTTTATATCAGAAACACGTGCTAAAGATGTCTTTTGCATTCCTGCTAATTTCTCAGATCCAGCCTTGGGCATATGCTCCTTATCTAATCTTGACTGCTGCATTAAACCAATGTCTGCTATTCTACTTTATCCTTTGTGTCATTGCAGACATGGTTTCTATTTTCTTAGCACTTCACCAAGGTAACGTGTAACTGCTTGGAAAATGTTAACATCTGTGAAGGAAAAAAAGAATCAAAGGAAGGGAATTAATCAAAGCCTTGAGATTTATGGGCTAAATCCTTGGACTTTGGGCCAGGTAGTAGGTTTGTTTCTCTGCTGAGGCAGCTTATATGTAGATGCCTGAGCTACTTCTGGTGAGGTAAAAGGAGACTGATAAACCTGATTTGAAACCCTGAAGGCAGGGATTTCTACCTGGGGTACAGTGGATGGGTCACTTGGTGGGAAGGCAGCAAATGGTGTCACAGAAAGAAGTGGGAAAACCTCTGGATCATTCAAGAGCTAAAATCAAAATCTCCCTTTGATGGCATCCATGGTTTAGTCATCAAACCTTTGGTCTTTTTAGACAGGATGAGTTGCTGTGCCACGTACAGAAATGTAGTTGGGCACTGCTGCATTACTGCAAGACACTTCACAGTTACTCTGCCACTGACTATTATCCTTATTATAATTGTGATTGTTGTTATTATTATGCACTTTGGAGGAATAACAAGAAATTAAGATTTGGAATGGAAAAGTCAAAGTTCCTGGAAATGTTTCACTGTTCACAGATTACCTGCATAGCTGTGGTTTCACAAGTACCACTGGTGCTTTGACAGTCGTGCTGTTAAATCTGCTGGAGACATACATTCAGACTGGATTCCCATTACTGGGAATGATAGTGGGTGTCTGGAATGGAAATTGTATGTTCTTTTGAAAGTTTCAGTTGTCACTATACGTTACTTGCAGCATTAATATTGCAAATTACAATCCGATGTAGAAACATAAAGGGATTT